TGTCATATTTATTTGGTATGGGTACGTTAATGAGCTTTTTGGTGATCATCTCCTTTTCTTGTTCAGTGATTGAATCATATGAATTTCCAGTACAATGGGAACAACAGTTCGATCCAAGTACCAGCTATGGTTTCCCTATGATTTTCACTTGCAGCAGGTTCATCCTCAACATACCTGGACATTTTCCAAATAAAATTCAAGTTCTGATATGGAAAAAATGATATATTTTTGTAATTTTATGATTATATAGTTTTTAATGCATGAAATTTAGTAATAGTCATTTTATATTTAAACTTGATATTTATGTTTTATTTGAATACCTGCAACAGAGCAATGGCTGGTTTCTCATTAGTCAGAAACTTGGGTGCATAGAAGATAGCAATAAACTTGCCCATCCTGGTGATGAGAGCTGAATCCAGATCTATATGCCTTTGCACAGAATCTTTAAGGAGAATTTTCAGGTAATAAATACTTTTGAACATGAATCTGGCATGGTGCATAGCCCCAGGTTTCTTAAATTTGCAGATATAGCTTGGGTCCAGGTACATAAGACATAACTCTGCTAGCTCATGGTAGTCATCTCTTTTCTTACTTTGTTTAAAATTTTCTTACTTTGTTTTCATTGAATGTTTCCTAAATCTAGATATATAACTCAATGAAAAAAACACCACTAAAAATGATTGTTTAGAATTTTAAATGTCTAAATGTATATATATATATATATATATATATATATATATATATATATATATATATATATATATATATATATATATATATATATATATATATATATATATATATATATATATATATATACTGGTTTAGGCAAGAAATTGCTTGCAACTGAAACATGTTTTTTTTCCTTTCTCATGACTTTTTATTGCTTGAATACCCATGTTTGAAAGTTCAATTATTTTATTGCATAATTTGCATCTTGCCTGGGTTTTATTTTCCCCTTTCATTAGCCAAGAGTCAAAATGAGGGTAAATGTCTTTATTTAACCATTCTTCTTTAAAATAAGCTTTTTTTTCTATTTTATTCATTATTTTAATTCTAAAAATAGAAACCAAATATTTCAAAATTATTTATATTTATAACATAGGGCACTGTAACAAATTTCATTGTTTTAACTTTAAAAAGCTTTTTTCATTTTCAAAATTCATTTTCATAAGGATTTTAATCTAATAGTCGTTGTAATGCTTATAGAAACCAATACTTTATAAAAACTTTCAAAAGTTTTCAACAAAGTTGAAAATCTTTGAAACTTTCTGTAACTTATAAGTTTTTCGCTTTGAAGACACAAAAATGTTTAAAGTTAAAGATGCTGTTGTTTATAGAATAAATTACAGAAATAGTTTTAAACAATTGAAATTGATCATAAAAAATTAGTTTTTTTATAATAAATAAAAAAAAGGAATTATTTTTTTTATAATAAATAAAAAAAAAAACATACACTATTACTGTAAAAATAAAATAATAACCATAGAAAATTTCAATAAAATATTTTTATTGAAAACAATTGTTAGTAATAAGAGCCTTTTGCATAATAAAAATACATTTAAAAATATTCAAGTTTTAAAAAAGTTAAAAAGCCATGGTCAAATTGTTAAAATAAAATATTATATGCGTGGGCATAAAAAGGTGTGCCATCGCATGCCTTCCTGTGAAACACTGTAGGGTATTTTTTAATTGTCGAAATAGACGGGAAGCACCAACAGAAACATAATAGCTTAATTGTAAAACGAGTAGTTTCTCAATCAGAATTCCCTGACTTTCCCCTAACTACCTAAAAAAAAAAAATTTCCCTGACTTTTCCAGGTTTTCCATGACTTTAGCCAAATTTGGCTGATTTTCCAGGTTTTCCAGGTACAGTACGAACCCTGTATATATATATATATATATATATATATATATATATATATATATATATATATATATATATATATATCTATATATATATCTATATATATATATATATATATATATATATATATATATATATATATATATATATATATATATATATATATATATATATATATATATATATATATCTATATATATATCTATATATATATATATATATATATATATATATATATATATATATATATATATATATATATATATATATATATATGTATATATATATATATCTATATCTATATATATATATATATATATATATATATATATATATATATATATATATATATATATATATATATATATATATATATATATAAATATATATATATATATTCTGAAAAAAAAAAAAAAAAAGTAAAAAAAAGTAAAAAAACTTTTTTAAACATAAAATTCCTTTACATCTACATAGTACCTGTAGAATAATCCACTACTACACTATAACAAGTCACTACTAAGTTCAAGTTCACTACTTAAATGTAATAGTGGCTTAATCTACTTTTTTACCAAAGTGAGCCACTTTAGTAAATGCTCGTTTTAAACTCAATAACATTTTTTTATACACAAACTTTATATACAAAAGACAGTTCAAAGTTTGGAAGCAATTACATTTGAGAATACTTCTACTAACACTGGTGTGGATAAGCAGTTGCTTTAAAAAACTTTTGAAATCAACTAACTCATTTAATAGAATATGTAAATATACCAAAATGAGTTACCAATTCACAATACCATAACTGAAATAATTAGCAAAAGTAATGATATAAGAAATATATTGATTAAAAACCATAGTACAAGCCTTCCCAGGAAACGTATGCAGTTTTTCGTCTTGTATGTCCATGTATAAGTATTTTATTTTAGACAACTTGGTCATGGCTGTTTGCAAGTTTTATATGAAGTGTTGCGGAAAAAAGTTCAAAAACAAAGAAAGGAAAACTAATAAAATAGGGAATTAAAATAAAATTAAATTGAAAAAAAAATTAATAATTTAAATAATTTGTTTACTGTTTTTATTCTTGTTTCTTCATGATTGTTATTTTCAGCAACGAAATTCAATAAGTCAAAGCAAAAAAACAAAAAAAAAACAATTCTAAGTTGACATTAAAAAGAATGATTTTCCTATATTTTATTTGTTTATTTTTTTAAAGAGGAAAGCGAAAATATAAATTGCCATCTGTTTGTAAAATATATTTATATAATTTTAATGTAACAAGTATACATTGTCCTGCTCATGTAATGCATGCAAATATTTTTATGTAAACTTTTTTGTATTACATAGTTATATTTATTTGTTCTTCATTATAGCTTAAGACGTTTAGCTTATTTGGATAAGGTGTTAACTTCATACCCGGAATGCCAGTGGTTCGATTTCTACAACTGTTTAAATTTTTTTGTTTTTCTTTACCAGCTGTATCCACTTTTACCCGCTGGTCATATGTTTGCTTTGTAATCATTTATCTTTTTTTATTTGTAAACAAAAAAATTTTTTTTGTATGTTTTTGAATGATACACATCTCTTATTCAAATAGATTATACTATTTAAGCCTTTCAGTGCATTTTTTAACTAAGATTCAAGTAGGCCATGCCATGTACACATTTTTCACATAGCCTTAGTTGTTTCATATTACCTTTTTTTTCCTGCACATTTTTTATACCTAATCTTTTATCGGAAACATGTTTTTTTTTAACATTCGGCTCTGTGCGTATGTAGAAAAATGGGCAATCTGTTTAAGAATTAAAACCTTATCCAAATAAGCTAAATGTCCATTTACTTGGTAACAAATAATTATAACTATATAATACAAAAAGTTACACATAAAAGTATATGCATGTATTATATAGACATTTTCATATGGGGACAATAAATACTTGTTACATTAAAATTATACAAATATATTTTAAAAACAGATTGAAATTTATATTTTCCCTTTCCTCTTTAAAAAAAAAACAAATAAAATATAGGAAAAAGCTTTGCCTAATCTAATTTTATTGCTGAAAATAACAACCACTCTAAAGTAACAAAAATAAAAACAGTACAAAAATCATTAAAATTATCAATTTATTTTTATTTTTGTCTATTTGAATTTATTTTATTTTCCTATTTTGTTACTTTATACTTTTTTGTTTTTGAAACTTTGCTGTGACCTAGTTGTCTAAAATAAAATACTCACGTGTGGTCATACAAGACGAAAAACCGCACACATTTCCTGGGAAAGCTTGATAGTAAGATACTTTGCTACACTGCTATTACAATAGAAAATAAACAGTATCTATATTTGAACATGTTCCAATTCATTCAGAATCATATATTAATTCAGATATTGAATCCTATGCAAATCATTTCAGCTATTGATTCTTATGTGAATTTTGATATTTTATCTCATCTTATTATTTTATTATAGTAAAATTGTGAAAAAATATCTTAAGCTTTTGTTTTCCAAATATAATACAAATATGTTGCAATTTTATTCATTGTAAAATAAATAAAGCAAGCAATGAAACTTGCAAAAGTATACCAAATTCTTTTCACAAATATTAAAGAGCTTAAAAAAATATAACAAGTTTAAATTTGGTCCAGTATTTACTGTTCTCAACTAATTCATTTTTTCCTGACTCAAGAAATAAACTTTTTGAAATACTCAAGAAATAAAAGATTTGACTCAAAATGACTTTTACGCAAGTGTTGTGACTTTCAAAATTTTTCGATAGACGGCTCTGGTTTACCTTCACATGGTATCTTTTGTTACAAATGATTATTATACAGTTCCAGTTATGGAAGTGATTATTTTTAATTATTTACTAAAAGCCAAGACAACTAATGGGTAATACTTACAAAACTGAAAGTATCTAAATTGTCTTAATATAGCCCACTGTTATACCTATATTTTGATTTGAAGTAGAAGGTATTTAGATAACAATGGACAATATATATATAACAAACATAACAAATGGACATATATATATATATATATATATATATATATATATATATATATATATATATATATATATATATATATATATATATATATATATATATACAAAGTAAATATATTTTAAAGTATATATAC